TAGGGTGATTCGTGTAGCTTAGTAAGAAGTTAAACATGTGTAGTAAGTTGAGAAATACTAGCAAACTGTGCAAGTAGGATAGAGTTCCTGCAGATGTAGGGTTTGTGTGGTGCCAGAAAGGAAGTTGGATATCTCGAGGATATAGGGTTGGTAAAACACCAAGAATAGAGTCTAATGTCTCAAGGATATAGGGATAGTAAGATGCCAAACCAACAGACTTGTACAGTCAGACACCACCTTGTTTCTACACTCACTGTACTCTCTGATGGTAATGTTGATGTTGACTGTGTTAAGGTTAGATCATCATCTTTCTGATTTCAAAAACATGTTATTTCTTGCCTCACAAAAGTAATGTCTTTATTCAAAAATCTATTCTCTCCCACTTTATGAATATAATATAAAGTCAGAGTGACTCAAAAAAGGTGCAATACCAAAAGTAGTGCTAGTTGTTTAGAAAAAAAAAATATCTGATTAATACATAGGAAACGTGACCAGAAAAAATAGATATAGTCCAACACTGTGTGTCCAGTGTACTAATGACTATAATTAATGAAAAATGAAATAAACTGCAGTTAAATGTTTTGTGTTTTTTTTTTATTTAGTATCTTTCAAGTAATACATTTGCTGTAGCATCATCTACCGGTGCAGTAACTGTCTTAAAACATTTGTCCAGTAGTCAGGTAAGACATATAGCTAACTATTTTATTATTAGTGTTTAGAGTTACATTTAGTATTTGTCAAAAACAAATGAATTTAATCTTGTCTTCTTCCTTCTTGCTGGGAATTTTGTAAGGAACAATTCAATGAATGTGACCTAAGTCATCTCATCTTTGCCTGTGTTTCCTTCTGGGGCATAGGCCAGCAACCAGCTTCCTCCTGGCATCTCGGTTCTGGGTGAGTCTTTCCAACTGTCCCCATGTCTTGTCCATCTGCTTGGCATCTGCTTCCAAATCGCAGCGCCATGTATTCCTCTTTCCTTGGGGGGTTCCAGGTTAGGACTTGCCTCGTTAAGTTGGATGGAGGCTTGCAAAGGGTGTGACCAATCCATCTCCAGCATCTCTGAAGGACATCTACTTCAATGGGCTGCTGCTTTGTTCTTGCCACAGTTCCTCATTCAAGATCTTGTCTGGTCAGCGGATCATAAGAATCTTCAACCGGCAGGTAGTGAAGAATACCTGGATTTTTTTCATGGTGGTGATGGTGGTTCTCCAGGTCTCTGCTCCATAAGGTAGCATTGGCTTAACAATGGTGTTAAAGAGCCTGATCTTGGTGGTGGTGCTTATTTCCGTAGATCCTCAGGTAATCTTCAGCTGATAGAAGGCTGCTCTGACATCTTTATCTGTTCCTCCATGGTGGTCTAGGATACTTCTGACCTAAGTGGTTGTTGTTATTTGATACATATTGACCGTCAACTTTAAAATATCCCCCTCTTCTTTTTTTTTTCACATGAATATTCTTCTGTCAGTTTTGAATACTGAAATAGTCTATTGTTCAGTTGGTTCTCCTTACTTTTTTTTTTCCTTGCCAGAGTTTATCTGCAGTCTAAGTTAGCAACACACTAATTAACAATTAATTCAAGCTTCAACTTTAAAAGATGTTGCTAAATGTTCTTTTTTGTTACAGACACTAGCCCACTTATGTACATGGGATAAACATCACCAGTTTAAAACTGACAGTCCTGCTGCTTGTACTTGCTTGGCCCCTAGAGGTGATGAATGGATAGCCACTGGTGGGGAGGATGGACAAATTGTTATAGTTGCATTAGAACAGAGGCAGCCAGTTCAAACACTAGGTAGGCTAAGTTAAGGATTCAAGTTTCATATTGTTTTTTTTTTTTTTTTTACTTTTCTGACTGAATCTTGGCATTAAATTAACATTATAAGCAGATATTGCTGACGCTGATCATAAGCTGTTATTAAAAACGCAGATAAATAGAAATGAAAAGCTCATGTAAAACTTATGATTTAAAAATGGTCCTACCAAAAAATGAAATGCACCCCATGTGTTCATCTAGCTGGTTGGTAGAAAATGTTAATTGTGCTCATGCATTAGGTTTTGTGGCTACTTTATGGTAACATCTTTCATGTTTGAAGGGCACTTTAGAAAATTTATTAGTCCTTGATTGTGTACTAATAAGAAATGTGTTATTGAAATAAAAGATTAAAAGAGCTAATTACATTACTGTACACTCTCATTAATAAATGTAATCTTCACAGATGACTTCCATCTTTTACCCAAATATCCATTTAGAGTTAGGTGCTCAAAAAGACTTTTGCCTTGCACCCATGCAAAATTAATGATGATCCCCCTTACCATAATTGACCTAGAAGTTAGTTGTTTATGCTATTAAGCATTCTGTAATACTACCACCCTGATGTTGAATTATCTAGTTTAATGCTTGTCACAAGGTATGACAAAACTAATCAATGATGGGGGTCATTGTTTGAAATATCTTATCTTTTATTTCAACTAAATTATCAAATTATGATCTTTTTAGGTGGTCTGGATTACGAATAGTTGTAATCAATGTCATTCTTATTTATGTGGTTTTCTTGAAATAGAAATGTTTGTATGTTTTTGTATGCTTACAATATTGTTCCTCGAAAATAAAATAAACAGGAGTGGTACAAATATGACTAAAAAAATGTGTAAAAAAGTCAAGGCTGTATGTTTTGTAGAGTTTAGTCAAAGTAGTCTGATCATCATTCAAGACATTGGTTCCTTCTGTGTACTTAAGTCATTTGACTATTGGTTTATGAAAATCAAGAATTGCTGATCAGAGGCAGTCTGTTTAGTAGGTGTGTTAAATGTTAGTATTAAAAAAAACAATTATTTACCATTCCATGCTACTAAATCATAAATCTAAGTGACTGACTTTTTTTTAGACAAGGCTGATAGCTGCACTATAAATGATCTCACATTTCTAAAGCAGTCTGAGATTCTGTCTGTCAACTCATTTGGACAATTGAAAACCTTTGATTTGAGACAAGATCCAAAACAACATGCTCAAATTTTTTCTGTGTAAGTTTTAGAATCAGTAATCAATGTTACTTTACTCTTCTGATAGAAAATATAAAAACAACTTGCTTATGTGTTTAAAGGATAAGAGTATTTTGTGACTTCTTTTGTATCAACAAATAAAGTTTCCCTTTAAGTCCAAGAGGTACAAAGTCCTGCATAAAACATGGCTGGCTGGCTGGTCATGTGCAATGCTCTCTGAACTGTTGTCATGATGGTCCTGGGTTCAAACTCTGCCTACCATCTCCTACCATCATGCAGGAAATTTGGGATACAGCATAATAATCTTCATTTCTGAAGGAATGTCAGAAACTTAGCTATAAGTCAATCGCTCAATCTCTGCATCTAAGGGCTGTATCACTCAACTACTGCATATCTAGACTGCTATAACTTTAGTAGTATCTCATCAAGAAGTGCAATATAACATGATCTTATCATTCAAATCTTGAATTCAGTTTTTACAATTCCTTTGTTCAGATTGCACATTCTTCGGCAAAAACATTTGAAAACAAATGGAACTTGGACACAAAAATGATTTTCCTAGAAATTTGACAGTTTTGTATATCTTTGGGAAAAGAATTACTAGCTAGTTGGCCACACTTTGAAAAATCTAGCTTGAACGTTATCATTTTTCAAAGAATAAAAAAAAAAAAATTTAGATATACGAGTAGAAAATATTTGTCTTGTACAGACTGTCTTCAGGTATTTCCGCTTGTAGGACCTATTCATTAAAGAGTTTAATAAATTAATGTTCCCTCTTCTAGGTCTAGACTCTCTATAGGCCTATCATTAGAATATTATAAAGTATAGTAGATTTACATGTTCCCTGAACCATAATTCTTTCCAGAGGTGGGGGGAATAGGGTGGGTACAAAATTTTCCTTTTTTTTTTTTTAATTTAACATTCGTTATTAAAAGCAAAATAATTGGTCTATATGTTGTACAAAGAAGGAATTTCCTTTTTCAAAAAGTATTTTTTATATATTTTTATTTTTTGTTTAGAGATCACTTCATAGGATATAAAAGATTGAACTCCTATTCCAAATGTATAAATGAAGCAAATGAATTTTTATTTGTAACAGGAAAAAAAAAACTACAACAAAGAATTCATTTTGTTCTTTTCTCTTGACTAGAGTATAGTGACAATGAATGAAATACCTCATAAACATAAACATTCTCAAATTTGTCATGTGAAGTTTAGAGAACAGTCTTAATAAAAACATCAAGATGTACATTTATACCAAAAGATATCGCCTGTGTCAACCCTTTTTTTAAAGCATTTATAGAAGCATACACATATATAAAAAAAAAATTAGAATCAAGTGAAATAAACAGTTGCTTAATCCACAGCACAGAAAACCATACTCCATTACTTTGCTTAGATAAACACCCAGGTCAGGCTCACATAGTAGCTACAGGGGGTGAGGATGGAATGTTGACTATCTGGGACCTAAGGCAAGAGAAATTTCCTATGACATTGCTTGAAGCCCACACTGGTGCCAGTAAGTTTTTGCTTCTATACTAGATCCAGTGATACTTAAATCTCTCTAAATACCACAACAGTGATACTCACAAATCTTAAATACTAGATCTGTACTACTTATATTTTCTTTTTTTCACTTATATATTTGTACATCTGATGGGTCTATGTATTTCTAAAAAAAAAAACATCAATATTATAAATAGCTAGAAAAAGCTTCAATAAATAAAGTTCAATAACATTAATGATAATCAATCAACTTTTGTTTATGTCAGTCGACCAAATGAATGTAAAACAGAGGCCATTTATGCATTTACTGTTATTTGGTTTGTGTAATGTTAGGAATATTCTCTTTCATAAGTTGACTTACTAACTGGTTCTTACTGTTCTCCATGGTCAGTGTGGGAAGTCAAATTCCACCCCCACAACCCCAACCATCTGTTCACATGCTCTGATGATGGCTCCTTGTGGCACTGGGATGGTTCCTCCACAGATGCTGTCTCCAGTTTTACAGGCACCAAAGGTAAGAAACACAGCATTTAGACTTCAATCTAATTTTTTTTCCCACCTGTTGTGAACTTTTAAGTGAAATATGGAGAATTACGTTTCCTTTGTCAGGAATGTCTGTGTCACAACTATGTTCCTATATATCCCAGTCCTAAACTTGATTTTCAATTAGCTGAATCCTTTTGTTGATATAATTTTCCAATGAAATGCACATTAAGTGGGGGAGGGGGATTCACATCTCATGCTAAATCAAGGGTGGCTGGCTGGTCATGTTATCACTTTGATCCTGAGTTTGAATCCAGGCTACTGCCATCACCAGTTCTGCTTGAGGATTGGGCTAGGACATAATAATCTTTATTTCTGAGGAATGTCTAAAACTTGAACTTTCCTTGAAAGTAATTTTTTTAGTAAGCTTCACTGGTGTAATGTATATTTTGTTGTTATTCACATCTTTTAATGGAAGGCCATTACAATTTTGTGTATAAATGCAGTTCTGTTTTCAAACAAACACATTATATGACTTAAGGTTTGTCTCTTACTCATCTATTTAAAGACAGCAGACCTTGCATTTATTTGTTGTGCCAATGCAGTAACATAAAATTTTAGTAAGCTTATTGTTGGCTACGCTGTATCCTGTGTGTCAGAATATATCACATTATATAAAAGATTCATAATAAAAGAGCAAATGACCATCACATCTCTTAAGCAAAAAAAAATTTATAAAGGCAATGTGGAATTGGCATAGAGAACAAAAAATATATCTGCTTGGCCCAGAACCTGATTATCATTTGAAATGGACAGGTCACACACATAAAAAAAACCAAGCTGTGATGCTGTTGGTTTATAAAGTAGATTAAAAAAAAACAAACTTGAGCTGCGTTTGGGAAAAAAAGTCTTGTAAAAAAAAAGTTTGTTGTACATTCACTAAATCTCTGTATCACTTTTCATCAAGTAACATGTCCTGTAGCACTTCTATCATTTCTCCTGTCTAGCTATTGGCAGAAGTTTGTAATCATAACCTGTTCTGTAGCCCTGATAAGAAAAAAAGGATTAAATATTATTTTTTTGGAAAGGGGGGGGGGGGCTTTATCCTCACAGATATTCTGATACATTGTCTATTTAAAAATTAGTTGTTTTTTTAATGAATGTCAAATAAAGGTTTGTCATTTAAAGGTTTGCATCTCTTTAACATTTTTTTTTTGTAGTATGACACATACACACATACACAAAGTCTAGTGACTTACTACACTGTCCATGGCCCTCATTATGGCCTCAAATTCCAGCTCCCCACATTTCCATCCAAATCCTGATGAGTCTATTGAAACAGCTCCCTTGTTGCCCACATTGTAGGCCTGGGCTTGTGCATCATTAGATGGCAGAACAATATTCTTTAGTCCCACTGATGTAGACCTCACCTTTACATAGAGTGTCAAGGTCTCGTTAGCTTTGAGATGATATGATAGATAGATAGTACTAAAAATAGCAACATAAAGTTCCCATAGTAAATAGCAAAGAGAGATTTAAAAAAGAAATAAAGTTTCTTGATCTTTCAATTATTTTGGAGTGGAGAAGTTAATACTGAAGAAAGTATTAATAGAGGGAAAGATAATTAGTGGGTGCCATGCAATGTCTGTGGCATTTCTATTAATGGACTATTGTGCACAAATAACAAAAGGACACACTAGGAAGTCCTTAATCCCTCAATCCTAGGTTTGTTGCTTTAATTTTGTGTAAACATCATGCCTTAGTACCTCGTAGTATTCACATAAGAAGCAGCGCTTTTGGAGAAATTGGTTTGTTGTTGTACAGCATTGTGCTGCTGTTTTTCCCCTTTTTGAAGGGTGTATGTTCATAATTATCTAAAGTAGGCTCGTTTTGTTGGTACACCCATCATTGCTAAAGTTTTAGTTTGGCACCATCACTAGATCTCTTACTTAACTGTATGTTTACAGGAAGCCAGGTTTCAGGTATTGTTTGAGTCGGGTTCTGGCTAGTGTAGAGCCACGTCTTGGCTAGCTTGATGTTCATGTAGCGTGGTGAAGATTTGCCAGTAACATGTAACTGGATTGTGTGTTTCTGGGCTGTAGGGTCCTAACTGAAAGTGTGTGAGGTGCATTGATACTACCTAATATGTTAAGCTGATTAATTTGATATCATTTTGTCGCCTGTATCCAAAACTATCATCAATAATTTATGCAGTGATATAATGGCGATGTCTTTGATTCCGAAGTTTAAGGATGAGTGCATTGTTTCACATGGCTACGCAAACCCAGTTGCGAAATGCATATTTTTTTCGCATCTGATGCAAAGTTATTGTCCACCAGGGTCAATTAAAATTTTTTTAACGTCTTCTAATTTGTAATAATATTTAATAATTAAATTTGTATTTGTTAAAAGTGCATCTACTATTGAAATAAAGTTCTATTCTGTTTCTAATGTATGTTCAATCTTTTCATCATTTCAACTTAAGGTTTAAAAGTTTTTTATTTCGTAAGGAGGATTTCTGTTATTTCTTCAGTCAACAAGTATCTCCAGCAACGTGGTGGATTTTGGGTCATTGGACATAGTTCTGAAAATACCAGGTTGTATTTAACCCCACAATTCTATCTCTTCATAGAGAAATGGTCTTTGAAAACTTGAATCTTTAAGCTGACAGATTAATTTAAGCTTGTAACCAAGTTTACCTGTGCCTCACACGCTGCCATAAAGTTGAATGTCAAGTGAAAAGCTTCTTCTATAGTTTCTCCACACACAGCCACTCCATGGTTGTGTAGTATTATGATCTTTGAATAGAAGTACATTTTTAGGAGTATGAGGTTAAGATATGGCTAATCATTAGTCATCTGTAATAAGTGATTTTCTAATCTTAACCAAATCAATAAAATAAATGTTCATCTCTTTACAAAAAAGCAACATATCTATATCTTTGTTATACCTGCTTTGATTCTAATTCTATATTTAAATGTATTTTCCAGCTTGCAGTTTAATTAGATATTATATTTCATCTCACATATAGGACTGGTAATCTGAACCCTTCAATAAGAAAGAACAAAAACAGCTAGTATCAAACATTCTTTCGTGTATTTATAACTGTAAAATTACCTTATTGGTGGGTCCCAAATTTTTAGCTAAAATTTCTTTCTCATTCTCGTCAACAAATATTCCATGATACTCATGGTAACTGATGTTGCCAAGTAGCATTGACTCTTGACTGAGGGGTAATAAACCACATTTCATCGCTGACACCTGTTGGGAGACAAAAGTCAAAGCTCCAATGTAGGCAACTATTTAATGAACACATGGGCATACTTTTATGTCGTGTGCTTCGGATTTTTCTATTAACTGGTAGATGTACAACTTACAGCAGTGGCAGCGGGGGTGTGCAAGTGTATGACACACTTGATGTCTGACCTAGCCTCGTGGATCGCAGAGTGGAGAGTAAATCCAGCTTTGTTTACACCGAACATAGAGGTTCCTTGATCAACTATGTCCCCATTGAGATTCACGTTGACTAATGAGGATGCTGTGATCTCGTGGTACATTAAACCAAAGGGGTTGAGGAGGAATTGTGGTTGGTCGCTGGTGTCCACACGGACCTAACAAGAATAGATTTGAAGTACATTATCTTCTATTTGTCTCTTTTGATGTAGATATTAAAATGAGCTGCTCAGTACTTACACTAGTTGTCATTTGATAATAAAATGTGTCCAGTACTTACGCTAGTTGTCATATGATAATAAAATGTGTCCAGAACATACACTAGTTGTCATTTGATAATAGAATGTGTCCAGTACTTATAATAGTTGTCATATGATAATAAAATGTGTCCAGTACTTATATTAGTTGTCATATGATAATAAAATGTGTCCAGTACTTAACTAGTTGTCATATGATAATAAAATGTGTCCAGTACTTATAACAGTTGTCATATGATAATTAAATGTGTAAGGTTGTGGAAAGTTCACTGAAAATCTTTCCTGGATATTGATTTTAGATTGTTTTGTGTAAACAAGAATTATAAATAATGAGTGGAGATAATTGGAAATTAAGGTTTTTTTTTGTTTACTTTCATTTCTCGAGTGTTTGGCAGACTTCTACTTTTATTTTGGTTGGAAATATATAAGAGAAGACATTCTTGTTTGGGGGTCATTCCATAAGTTTTAAGTCTAATATTAAATTATTTCTGCAGATTCGAATTTGAAATTGAATTAAATTGTGCATTCTAACTTGGACTTGTGTGTGTGTATAATAATTCTATGATTTCAATTTAATATTTTTGTTAGATTTCCCAAGCTATTCTTGGATGTTGGATGTGTTTAGAATGATAGAATCATATTCACCACAACAAAAGACAGCATCACACTAGTAAATAATGATTTTTTTACAATCAATCTACAAAAGCAATGTTACAAATCTCAGTTTAAATTTAATTAAATTTCACTTATTAGTCAATGGATGGATTCAAAACATAAGTTCCAAGTATAAAGATAAATGGACAGTTCATTTAAGAAAGAGTAAAAAGGAACAGACTAAAAACGCAAAATACCTAGGTGTTATAATAAATGAAAAACTGTAATGGAATCCACATAGTGATGAAACTATAAAAAAATCAAACAAAGCATTAGGGTTTATTAAAAGAAATTTCTATAAATCAAATAAGAACATAAAACTAAAAATTTATTTAACCTTGGTTAGGCCAATAATAGAATATGCATCCTCCGTTTGGGACCCCTCAACTCAAGATAAAATTAAGAAACTGGAACAGACACGAAATAGAGCAGTGAGATTCATAACAAACAAATATTCACACTTAACTAGAGTAACACCTTTAGTAAAATCACTAAATTTAGAAAGCCTTCAGGACAGAAGACTCAAAAGTAAAGTAGCAATTATACATAAAACACTGAACCATAATCTTCAAATACAAAAAACAAAATTTAATAAATAACTCTGAAAGACACAAAGATAAAGGCACATTCCTCGTCCCATATGCTATGACAAATTTGTACAAATACTCCTTCTTCCCTAGTGCTATTAGAGAATGGAATGGGTTGCCTGAGCTAGCCAGGAAAACCAGTGACTTGGCAGAATTTAAGTCATTGGTTAATATGCATGACGCGTAGGACGCAATCATCTTCTTTTTTGAAGTAACATCTGTCTAATATAAGATAAGAATTTGTTTTTAAATTTATAATGTGAGTGTATTTCTATGGTGATGGGTGGGAAGAGGTTAGTGATTGGTTGTGAATGATGCAAGATAAACTGCATTGTCATCAGCAGTCTTAGATGGGGGGGGGGGGGGGGGGGGACGACTCCATATTGTCAGACTGAGTTGTTGTAGTGAGATTTTGTTCATTATACCATTTTATATTATTATTACTAAAGTCTACTAAATTGATTTCATTGTATCTCAACTGGAATTAGTTTATATTGTAATAAAAGTTATATTTATTTTTTTCACAAAAGAATTTATTCAAGTTGAATTAGTTAAAATATACAACACCTACACCAATTCAGTTGTCTACCAGCAGTGTGGTGATACAAGTCAATGACCGTCAACAACACTTAGTAAATATTTTACATTTCTACTAGCTTTCATAATATAAATATGTTCACTTTGATGTATATAGACAAAAAAATGAATTTATGGTTACAAGCCCTTTTCTTATATACGGTACTTCAACTGTATACATATATGTGTCACATCCCAACCCTAAAACTCTATTCTTAGTGATAATGTAGGTAACTTGAAACAGATTACAATAGATACATGTATAAAGAAAGTAAGATAAATTGTTAATACATTTTTTATGTTTTCTATAGTGACTTTTCTTACAAATTTTCTTTTCATGTAACGTAGATAGAAA